GAGAGTCCAGAAGTAAATCCATATTTATATGGGCGAATAATTTTCGACAAAAAAAGCCAAAAATATACAATGGAGAAAGGAAAGCCTCTTCAATAAATGGTACTGGAAAAACTGGAAAGCCACCTGCAAAAGAATAAAACTAAACTGCTGTCTATCGCCCTACACCAAAATTAACTCAAATTAATTAAGGACCTAAATGTAAGATCTGAAACAATAAAATGCATAGAAGAAAACATTGAAACTAAACTCAAGGATCTTGGACTTATAGAGGATTTTATGTATTTGACCTCAAAAGCATGGGAACATAAATCTAAAAAGCTTCTGCTCAGCAAAAGAAGTCATCAACAAGATAAAGAGACATCCATCCAAATGGGGAAAATATATTTGTGAGCAATACCTTTGATATGGGCCTAATATCCAAAATATACAAATAAGTTATACAACTCAATAACAACAACAAAGAAAAAGATCCAATCAAAAAATGGGCAGAGGGCCTGAACGAACACTTTTCCCTAGAGGACATACAAATGGCCAACGAATATTTGAAAACATGTTCAACATTACTAGCTATTAGGGGAATGCAAATAAAAAACAATGAGATATCATCTCACACCTCTTAGAAAGCTATAATGAACAGGACAAGTAATAACAAATGCTGGAGAGAATGCGGAGAAAAAGCGACTCGTTATTTACCTCAAAGACTTGAAAACTCACATCTGAAAAGATATTTGCACACCAGTGTTCATAGCAGCATTATTCACAGTGGCCAGGACATGGAAGTAACCAAAGTATCCTACAATAGATGATTGTTTAAAGAAGCTGTTGTATATATATACAATGGAATATTACTCAGCTGTAAGAAGAGATGAAATACTGCCATTTGCAACAACGTGGATGGATACGAGGTAATCATGCTAAGCGAAATAAGCCAGACAGAAGAAGTTGATAATCACATGATATTAGTTATATGTGGGCTATAAACTAAAAGCGACAAATGAACAGGACAAACAGAGACTCGTGGACATGGACTATAGGCTAGTGTTTACCAGAGGACTATAATCTAGTGGTTACTAGTGGGGTGGAGGAGCAGAGGGGAGGTAGAAGGTTAAAGGAGATCAAATATAGGGGGGTGGGTAGAGGGAGGGCGAAGTGGGTAAAGGGGATCAAATATATGGCAGCTGAAGGAACCTGGACTTTGGGTGGTAAACACACAATAGACTATGCAGATGTCAAGTGATAACGTACACCTGAAAATTATATAATTGTATTAACCAATGCTACCCCAATAAACTTAATGAAAAAAAGGTAAAATAAAATAAATAATAATCCAGCTGTACTATCATTTTATCCCTGCATTAACATGAATGATCAAAAACAGACCCTAAATACTATGGTTGTTATTTTTGGTACTGGCTTTATTGCATTTTTTAACATTGGAAATCAATATTTACTTGTTGGTTATTATTGAACAATTATTTATATAGATGAGCATTCCTTAGATCTTCATGTCTGTTACTCTGAGTGTTTTTTCCCCTAGTTTTCTAAGGATTTTTATATTTATCATAAATAGATATTTAAATTTTTCAAACATTTTTTATTTACTGAGATGAGCACGTGATTTTTCTCCTTTAATCTATGTGAATTATATCAATTAGTTTTTACAGCTTTTTTGAAACATAATAAACAATTAGTTGCTCATATTTACAGTGTAAAATTCAATGAATTTTTTCAATTATATTTGGAATACACTAATATATTAGTTTCAGTTGTATGGCATAGTGATTAGAGATCTATATAATTCAGAAAGTGATCACTTCACTAAATCTAGTACCCCTCTTCACCTTTACATATGTATTACAACATTATTAACTATTTTTCTTATGCTACGCTTTGTATCTCCATGACTATTTTGTAACTATCCACTTGTACTCTTAATCCCTGTGCCCTTTTTCACCATCCCCTCAGCCCCTTCCCATCTAGTAACCTTCAAAAATTTCTCTCTATGACTTTGTTTCCATTTTTGTTGTTGTTTATTCTTTAGATTCTGCATGTACATGAAATCACATGGTATTTGTCCTCATCTGTCTTACTTCATTTAATGCAATACCTTCTAGGTCCACCATGGAAATATCTTTTTCCATCCCATTACTTTTAGTTGTCTGTGTCTTTAAATATGAAGTAAGTCTTGTAGACAGTATCTGTAGGTGTCTTGTTTTCTTATCCATTCAGCCACTCTATATATTTTTTGGAGCATTTAATTCGTTTTCATTTGAAGTACTTGTTGATAGATACATAGTTATTGCTATTCTTTATTCATATTTTTGAAACATGTTTTTTCTTCATCTGAAAGAAATCCCTCCAACATTTCCTGTAATACTGGCTTGGTGATGAACTCCTTTAGCTTTTTCTTGTCTGGGAAGCTCTTTATCAGTCCTTTGACTCTAAATGATAGCTTTACTAGATAAAGTAATCTTGGTTGTAGATCCTGGGTTTTCATCACTTTGCATACTTTGTGCCAAGCACTTCTGTCCTGCAAAGTTTCTTTTGAGAAATCAGCTGCCAGTATTATGGGCGCTCCCATGTAGGTAACTAACTGCTTCTCTCTTGCTGCTTTTAAGATTCTGTCTTTATATTTAACCTTTGACATTTTAATGATGATGTGTCTTGGTGTGGCCTCATTGGGTTCATCTTGTTTGGGACTCTGAGCTTCCTGGGGTTGTATGTCTCTTTCCTTCACCAGGTTAGGGAAGTTTTCCATCATTATTTCTTAAAATAGTTTTCCAATTTCTTGCTCTCTCCTCCTTCTGGTACCCCAGAATACGACTGTTGTTACATTTGATGTTGTCCCAGAGGCTCCTTAAATTATCTTCATTTTTTTGGATTATTTTTTCTTGTTGCTGTTATTATTGGGTATCCTCTGCTACCCCATTCTCTATATCAGTAATTCGAACCTCCGTTTTATCCACTGTTGATTCCCTGTAATATACACTTCATCCTAGATAATGTGTTTTTCATTTCTGACAGGTTTCCTTTTATAATTTCCATTTCCATTTGTATGTTTTTTTATTTCTTTGTTAACGTTCTCACTCAGTTCATCTATACTTCCTTTAAGTTCATTGAGCATCTTTATAATCATTGTTTTGAACTCTGCATCCATTAGATCATTTGACTCCATTATTCCTGGATCTCTGTTCTGTTCTCTCACATGATTTCTGCTCCTTTGTATTCCCATTTTGGCTACCTTTCTGTGTCTGTTTCTACATACTACTCAATGTTCCTAAATCTCCCAGTCTTATTAGCATGGCTTTGTGTAGTAGATGTCCAACGGCACAGTCCTGAGAGGGGTTCAGCTGTAGGCCAAGTTTAGCCTCAGCCTGTGCCCCTCCAGGAAAAACTGTTAAGATTCAACAAGCAATCCACAGATGCTGTGCTATTAGTTGCCTGTAGAGGCCATGCCAGAAAACAAGGCCAGCTACTACCAGTGTGGGGCTTGGAGCTGCTCAGCAAGGGGCATAAGACACACTGAGGACACAACTGGATGTGACTTTGGTAGGTCTGCGAGTAGGGTGAGGTGGAGTTTCAGAGAATCCTCAGGGTGGAATTACCTCTGTTATCCAGTTTGATGACATCTCAGCTATGGCAGCGCTGCGTCCAGACTCTGGGAGGAAGGTGGGCTCAAAAGAGGAACAATGGATACCGCCAGCACTTCTGCCTGGGAGAAAACCTTGGCTCCGGCCCTCACTCCAACAACTCAGTGTCCCCCTGTAAGTCTCTGGTGCCCTCTGAGCAGCCAACCTGGTGCTGTTGCTCAGAGCAAGCAAGTCCGTCACCACAAAAATCCAGTTATGAACACAGCCACTTTAAAAGGAACATCTGCAGCTGCCGGCTGCAACTGCTGTAGGCTCTGTCCCCCTCAGCTATTCGAGACCAGGGGGCCTTGCATCTTCAATCCCTCCTACCTCCTACCATTACAGGGTGATTTTTTATTTCTCTCCGTAGTTATAGGGCTTCTGTTCTTCTAGACCCCAGGTGACTCTGTTTGCTGTTTGCTCCATGTTTCCATCACAACTTTGGTGTGGTCTCAAGAGGAGATGTACAAAGCCTCTATCATCTATGCCATTTTGCCTGGATTCATTCTGAGTATTTCGAGTCAGGAGATTGAACAGGGAAGAAACATTTATGAGCTTGCTTGTATTTAGTATTTGCAGAGCTGTATTAATACCATATCCATATGCATGCTTTAATCTTATGGTATACAAAAACCCTTTTCTGTGTGACAACCTGGCAGTCAATAAATTGGCAATCTGCCCAGTACAATCAAAAGCTTTAGTAGAAATTATTTGATTTTTTAAATGTATTAATTGATTTCAAAAACATTGAACCTTAAAATAGTAAGCAAATATCTCACTGTTTTTTAGTTTAGTGGAAAAGGAAAATATTTTTTTTTTAATTTTATCCTGTTTAAACCATGACCTGAATTTATCTCTGAAGTTTGACAGGTCCTAGCTACCAAATTGTAAATGATTCTACTTCTTTGTAAAAAAAAAGTAGTTCCCTTCTATCCTTACATATGTACATATGCCATTTCCTTTATATCATTTCTGTAGGAAAACGATGAGAAGTTAATATCTCATTTTTAACTTTGTTTTTGTCATAAGAGTACGAAAACAGCATCAGAGCCTCCTTTGGCTCCTCCTGTGTCTGAAGAAGAAGACGAAGAAGAAGAAGAGGACGAAGATGACAATGAGCCCCCACCAGTTATTGCACCAAGACCAGAGCATACAAAATCAGTAAGTTAAAAGTAACTATTTCCAAATGATTCAAAAGATGTCCTTTGGAACTTAGAGTCAGAATCTAGTTAATCAACTAGTTCCTATTGAGCATCTACTATGTCCTCAGAACTTGGGGACACAAGATCAACACATGACAATTAGAGAATAATACCTAACGATATACAAATAATTGCTAAGTTATAAAACTGCTGCAGAGGTTAAGATAGAGAAGGAAATCCACATGAATCAGGTAGGAAGACTTGCATAAGCAGATGTATGAGTACCAGAATTAGCACAGCATATATATGGGTCTCAAAGGACTAGCTCCTAAGAGTTTTCAAGGGCAGTGTACTTGAGGCAGGGTAAGAGGAGGGATGGAAGGCAGACAGAGCACAGAGGATTTTTATAGCAGAGAAAATACTCTTCACGATACCATAATAATGGATACATACTGTTATACATTTGTCCAAACCCATAGACCATTCAACACTGAGAGTGAACCGTATGTCAACTACGGACTTTGAGCGATTATGATGTGCCAATAAGTTCATCAGCTGTAACAAATGTTCTCTCTGGTGAAGGGATGTTGATAATGGGTGAAGCCATGCATTTGTGGGGTCAGGGGGTACATGGGAAACCTCTGTACCTTCTCAAGTTTGCTGTGAACCTAAAACTGCTTAAAAAATTTGTCTTGATTTTTTAAAAATTCTCACTGATATGACAGTGTCTTGACTTCATGCTCTTACCTTGGTCTGCTGTTTTAATTGTAGATTTTTTTTTTGTCTTGAAGATCTACACTCGTTCCGTGGTTGAATCCATTGCTTCACCAGCAGCACCAAATAAAGAGGTCACCCCACCTTCTGCTGAGAATGCCAATTCCAGTACCTTGTATAGAAACACAGATCGACAAAGGAAAAAATCCAAGATGACAGATGAGGAGATCCTAGAGAAGCTAAGTGAGTTTTTTTTTTTGCCATCATTACTTTCTTTATGTAATGGCTTCTCATAAAGTAGAATGGGATCGATCCTTTAGAATTTCAAACCTGCTTGTATAGACTCTAGGCTCCCCGAAGGCATGAGATGTAAAGTTTGGGACTCACTGTACATTCCAGATCGCTCCCTTTCTCACATTCCTAATGTGACAGAAACTAAATATTTTCGCTTGAAAAAAATCAATTAAGCTGAAAAGTTGACAAAATCAATTAAGTAGTTTTATTTTAAGATTATACTCCCTGAATACAGTAGTCTTATGTCATATCTTATTGATCATATCCCAAGTGCCCCCAACTGATCAATCATGATAAGTCAATCGAAGCCCAACACTGTCAATTAAAACCGACAACTGTTATAACATAGCCCCTTCCCTTAATTTAGGAGCATTTCTATGTGGAGAGGGGACAGGGTCAGCAAATGCTAGCAGCAAACAAATACATCTTTACTGTGTTCCTATTTGTCTGTTCTATGCCATAATCTTTGGATAAAACGATAGAAAAATAATTTCCTGCCATCAAGAAACTTACAATTTTATTTGGAAGATAAATGTTAATAGTGTGATACATTTAGAGCCATCTTCTTTTATACAAATTTCTATCTAAAAAAACTTCAGAAAAGGAAGAGAATGCCCATTTTACCCTCTAAAGGACATTTGGCAATGTGTGGAGACATGTTTATTGTCACAACACAGGGAGTACTACTGGCACCTAGTGGGATAGGCGAGGGATGTTTCTAAATACAATGTAAATGACAACCCCTCTCCTTTCCCCTCTGCAGCAAGGAATTATTCAGCTCCAAATGTGAACAGTGCTGAGGTTGACACATTCTAAGGTAGATGCATTTGGAAAGGCAAAGGTTCAGGTTGCAGCTGTTAGTGACCCCTCAGAACTGGAATTGCTGGACTTTAGCCAGCTGATATTACATGATTATGCATCTAGTGCTATTGCCAACTATTTGCTCTAATAACAACAGTAATAATTACCATTTATTGAGCACTTTCTGTGCTGGCCACTTTATATATATTATCGGGTTTAATTTTCACAATAATCTCCTTTGGTAGATTTTAATAACCTCATTTTACAGATCAGTGAAAGTAAGCCTCAAAAAGCTAAAGTGACCAGGTCACTAAACTAATGAATGGCAAAGCCAAAGTTTGAACTCAAATTTGTTTGCCTTTAAATTTACACTGTTTCCATTATCCACTTGGCATCTGCATATCCCAAGTGTCTATATGTGGAAAAAGGAAGGAAAAAATGAAAGAATTGCCCGGATAATTTCAGTTCAATTATTCAGACAATTGCCTCAAATATTTTTCCTTTTACTTTGGACATGTGGACATGACCTATGAGATTATATTAGATTTTTAAACTCTTAACAGCCTCGCTTTAGTAAAAATGACTGTTATTTGGTACCTGTTTCAAATCTCAATAGATTTATTATAATTAAAATGTGTTTATAGCTTTCTCAAGTTTAGTGACAGAGAAACAAGCATTATTTTCCAGGGCGAGAGTCATGCTTTGCTTGCAAACTGTAATGGATTCAGAGCTATGGTCTTTATAATTTGTTGTTTACTCTGTCCTGCACTGAGCAACATGATGAAAAAGAAAAAAAAAACTACCTTCGATTATATTTTATGGACATATTATTTATTTTTATTATTATTAAAAATTATTGGGATGACATTGATCAACAAAATCCAGTAAGTTTCAAGTGTACAATTCAAAGTACATCGTATCTTAAATAAAGGATTGTTTTCTTCTCTGCTGGACAATGCTTGGGCCTAGAAAGAATCATTTTTCCTCTAGACAGTGGGCTACCTATAACTGCCAACTTTACCTTGTGCTTACAAGACCTTGACAGGGAAAACCTGTGGAGAAAGGGGAGGGTGCTTCTCATGAATCAGATCTAGGCTGAGCTATACTGCAAAGTCAGTCTTGCTTGTTCCTGCTCCACCAGCACTCTTATAACTACATATTAGTACTCTGTCTATAGGATGGATTTTATATAACTCTACCAGTGGCTAAAAGGACAGGACTGAAGTCAGACAGGGCCAGACTCCAATTTCAAGCCCACTGTTAACAGCTCTCTCACTTTGGGCAAGTTATTTAATTTTTCTGGACCTCTTTTTCCTCGTCCAAAAAAATGGAGATAATAATAGTACCAAATTCATAGCATTATGATAATTAAATGAGAAAAATGCATGTAAAAACCTCAGCAACAGTACCTAGTACACAATAAATGCTCAGTAAATGGTAGTAACTGTTTTATCCCATGATTATAAAGCCTTGATAAGATAGTACAATGGGACAGGCTTTGAAGTGAATCATAGCTGAATCTGAGTTATAAACCTAGACAAGCTGTGTATCCTTAAGTAAGTGACTCAACGCTGAACTTCACTTCTTTTATCCGAAAAATGAAATAATAATATTACCAATATAATCGGGATTTTGTGAAGATTAAATGAGGTATAAGGTAGGTAAGACACCTAGCACAATAAATAGTAGCATAAAATAATTATGCTTTTTGTTTTTGGTAAAATGTGAGGACCATATTTTTCAATATAGAAAAATTGGGGCATGGAGTCTTCCAGTGGAACAGAATGTTTGAAACTAGTAATAATCCAAGATGTATGGTCCCTCCCTGTACTGAAGTCATTGAGGACCTTGGAACCTAGGCCCTCATTGGAGCTTTGGGAAAGAATAGAGAAGTCTGTGCTCGGAGGTAAAGGAGATAGGAAAAGGAGACAGGGAAGTAAAGGAATGACCTATAGCCCATACCAGAGTAGACACTGCCCCCTACCATAAGCATGGGGATTGATGAGAGTTGCCTCATCTTTAGTCTCAGATCAGATTACTATGAGGTGGGTAGCTTAGACCACAGAGCCTCCAGGCTATTTATCTTCCATGTAGATACTGATTGTGGGGGCCAGACCATTAGATCACTAGTGGCTGAAATGAACCGATCATCTTTCAGTTTTACACAGACAGATAACCTGGGTCTGGATTGTTCACTGCGGTCTGTCTGAATCTGTTAGAAAATAAAGAAACCCCTACATTTCAGTAAAAATTTTCAAAAGCCGCTGTCAACAAAATTGTGCAATGCAGGAAATTTGTCTTTAGCCTCTCCCTTCCGGGCCCTACAATCACCTTTTCCTCTCATCCTTCCCATCACAAGTATTCCCCACTCAAAACTCTTTCTCCTAATTCTTCCTCAGATAGACTTAATATTAATTTAGAGAATTATTTTACTTTTTCTCAGGAATCAAAACCTTCATTATGCTGAAGTTATAATCTACTAGTTGGAGTTCAACTTAGTTTAATATGTAGGAGAATACATAGATGGGCTTTCTTGCCACTGAAACCACATCATGAATCCTTTTACAAATACTAGTATTAGTGATTTCTTAAATCCTGTATTTTAAAATGAATAGTCTGTTTCTCATTTAGGAAATTGCTCTGGTAGAAAATGTTCTGGCATTACTATCATTTTTCCCCTTTTGACTTTAAGTTGGGGATCTTTGCCACTTTTTTATCTTATTGTGTCACCATGATTTTTTCTTTCTTTACTAAAATTTATAAAAGCAAATAAGCAAATTATAAAGGCTATGGTGAAAGAGGTCACTTTACAAACTTGTTTTGTCATTCAGAATTGTAGACAAGGCTTCCTGTGCACTTGTCTAACATCAGTAGATGGCAGCACACATTTTCCTATGAAGGGTTATGGGTGTGAGGAACCATTTTATTTGAATAGCAGTTAAATTCAGAAGCAGGATCTCATCAAAATGGTTGTTTTTGGTAATCCTCATAAAAGAATTTATTTCTATTTTTTTTACCCTGCATAACATGGAAATAAATACTGAATATTTTACTGCCATAAAACCTCATTAACTAAACCCTGCCAATTGGAATTGGTCATAATTTAAAAAGTGGCTTGGGCTAAAGCTTATTTGTTTTTGTTCAGTCTATAAAAAAGACTTTGCTCAGCAACTTAATATATAACTTTCTTAGAAGGCTATAAACTGATTTTTAAAACTATGGTTTCAAGCGATTTTAAAATCTTATTTCATCTAAAACACACACACACACACACACACGCACGCACGCACGCACGCACGCGTGCACCCAAAATATCCAGACCTTTACATATTAAAAGCTGACTTAAATAAGAATAGCTCTCAGTGATGTGGAAATCTGTGAGACAATTTGAAAAATGAAATAGCAATTTAGAAATTGTTAAATTGGTGGCATTCTATAGATATAAGTAAAATGCATTCTTCAATCCCTCTCTTAAAATATAGGATGTTTATAAAAGGAAATGCCTATTTTTATTTGAGTTTAATTCAACAGACTTTTATTGAATACCCAGTATAGTCCACACATAGCATTCTGTGAAGAGGCGCTGAAGATATACAGATGAATAAGATATGACTTCTGTCCTTAATACACAGTCTGATAAATAAATGTAGATATAGGGTGTATTGAGTACAGAGAAAGAGAGCAAGAGCAAAAGCAAGAGAGGCAGAAAGAGGGAGAGAAGGTACAGTAGTAGTACATAGAAGGAAAATTATTAACTTTACTTGAAAGAATCTTAGAACTGGTAACATCAAAGCTGAGTTAAAGAATAAGTAGGAACTTGCCAGGAAGAAAACTTAAGAAGGAAATTACAGGCAAGGAATAGCATATAAAGAAGGTATGAAGGTATATACCTGGGAACTCTAACTTATTCAGTGTCTCTTGAATATAGAATTGGTGATGGACTGGAGTTTTAGGAGAGGAAGCTAAACTGTTAAGCAGGAGCTAGCTGGTCATGAGCTACAATTAATTTGTTATGGTTCTAGAGGGGAAGTCATGAGATGAGATGGGAAATAAAGCAGGAACCTTGCATTCCACGCCAAGGAGCTTGAGCTCCTGTAGGTGTTGTGTAAAGGACATTAAGGATTCCTCAACCAGAGAATCATATGATTAGATCTACCCTTAGAGCATCCTGACAGAAGTGTGAAGACTAGACTGACATGGACAGAGGCTGGAAATACGGAGTCCAGTTAGGAGGCTATTGAAATAGCCCAGACAAAAATTATAAGAGTCCAACCAGAACAGTAGTAATGAGGAAGGGACACATTCAAATAGTATCTAGGAGGTAAACAGTTATAAGCCCAGGACTCAGTAGACAACTGCATATGGGGAGTGAAGGTAAGGAATAAGTCAAAGATGATTCCCAGATTTCTTACTCAGGCTACTGAGTAGATGGATGGTAATAGTACCATTGACTGAGATTGAAAATACAAGAGAAAAAAATTATAATACAACTCACATATTGTGTAAGTCTTATTTAATCTAACTAAAACATGGACTTCTATTATAAAAAAACAACAAAACCCAATGGGCAATCTATGAGTGGAACATTTAATTATTTTTTTAAAGTATACTGTCTACTGATAGGTCTAAATTAAGTTGTTCACTAGCCTATAAAATGGATCATTGTCTAAATTAACATGAGGTATTATCTGTAGCTCACAGTTTACTGCTTAAATATATATTTCTTATTCATTTAGTCAACAAATATTTTTTCAGTGGCAGCCACTATTCTAGGCACTGAAGTTACATGGATAAAAAGAATGTTTTGCCCTCCAAAAGAAGCATGTTAAGTCTCAATATAAGCATTAGAGAAGACTCCACAAAGGAGGATGACTTATATTCAAGTGATAAATAAGAATTCATGAGTTAAACAGGAAAGGGAAAGGGAGAGCATCTGCAAAGACTTAAGCCTTGGATAGTGATAGTATCACTAGGATACAAAGTAGGAGGAATGAAGAAGAGAGGAATATGAGATTAGACTAGTTAGGTAGGAGCTAGATGATAAAGGGCTTTCTATGCCAGTCTAAGAAATTTGAACTTGATCCTGTAGTGAAGAGGAACTTTTGAGGCATTAAGAACAATGGATCAAAATTACTCTTAAGTATGTTGACCATGCATTTCAGTTTACCCAAGACAGTCTCAGTTTATGAATTTTATAGTTATCCTACTCCAAAGGCATTGTGGAAGAGGAATTAGAGAAGGCAGAGTTTAGAAGTAGGTAACGACTAGCACCATTGTTTAGACAAGAGATGATGAGGGCCTGAACA